TGGGCCTCAGTGATACAGCCAGGAGTGGTCTGAGGAGGATCCAGAAGGAAGAGGAAGTCAGTCAAATATGCCAGGATGCCTGCATGGATGAACGAGTAGTTCCTGGATAAATCAAAACACCAGAAGGAAGTCTATAGAGACTGGAATCTGGGACAGGAAGCTGGTGAGAAATACAGAGAAATTTTCTGAGCAGTCAGCGTGTGGAAAACTAAAGCCTTGATAGAATTAAGTCTGGCCACAAATGTCTAGGGAAAATCCAAAATCTTCTATATGTACAGTTGGTGATAAAAGCAAAATGAGGGAAAATATGAACCTTCTTTGAATGGAAATAGGAGACTTGGTTACTCAGGATAAGGAGAAGGCTAAGGTACTCAATTTATTTGCCTCAGTCCTCACTGGCAAGTGCTCCAGTCAGAAGCTGTGAATGCCCCATCGCTGGCAGTGTCCAAGACCAGGATGGACAGGGCTTTGAACAGCCTGTCTAATGAATGGCATTCCTGACCACACCAGCGGGGCTGGAATTAGATGATCTTAAAGATTCCTTCTAACCCAAGAAATTCTGTCATTCTTTGAAACATATTTAAGAAAATGAAACAGGTCAAATTTTTGTTCCCTATGCTCTAACAATATCCTTGTTAGCACACCATTATACCATAAACAAACCAATCTTTGCTGCCCCCAGTAAGATGCACTCTGTCATTAGAGACACAAATGTGCAGCTGCACTGGGCAGTACTTGAACTCTGAAAGCTGACACACCGGTTTAGGGCATGCTGGGGTGTGCATAGCAGTCACCATGATCTCTCAGGCAGCATGCATTTCTGGCAGGCTGCACTTGCTCTGAACTCCTCTTCCATCTGTTTCATCCTTGGAGCTGACTACTGTGGCTAGTCACAGAGTGATTTTGGCAATAGTAAGGTACAGATGCCCAGCTTGGGAATGAGTTTTTGAAGTAGTGACATCTCAGTGTCAGCTTGCCTTCCAGCTAATCTCTTCAGCATTCTCTGGCTGTACTCCTGGCTCTGGTGGCCACTCAGGAGCTGGGGTCAGTCTTTGTGGCTTGCTGGCCTTTTCAGAAGAGCACTTGTCTGTGATTAGTCCCTCTGAAGGAGCTAAGAGCTTTCTTCATACATAACTTTAAGTAAAATAATTTAAAAAATCTCATGAAGTTCACATAGAAACTTCCATGAAATGACATTTAATACTGTGATAGATTTTAATTCTTGAATATTTCTGCTGTGCTCTACTAGTGTATGGTGGGTTTATTTCTTCAGTGCAAAAAAGAGATTCATAATGTCTGGAATAATTTCCAGAAGATAAACCAGAACATGCCTAAAATTATTCATGTACAGGGTATATTCTTTAACATATTGGTGAAGCAGTCACCATCATTTTTATAGCAGATAGATCAAAAACCATTTCAGTACCTCCAGCTCTGACCCTGTCAACAATGGAGTGAAAGAACTAAAAATTACTGTCACTTCCTCCAAACATGACCAAAATGAAATACTTTGTTCTAGTCTAGGAATTTTTATTCTGTTAAGGGGAATCTCTTCAGACAGATGTATGTCCTTTCCTCCTCTGTTCCCCTGTGAATATCCAAATGGGGGAATTAAAAAATGCTTCAGAGCTTTGAAAACCCAAAGTAGCCAAGTATGTTGCCTTGTTCCACTTCTTTCTTGCTTTACTACCAATTCTGAATGCTACCTGAAGATGAATGTTTTAAATTAACTATTTTCTCAGACTCTGACAGTACTGATGGAATCAGAGTATAACTGAGCCCTTGGGTATCTCAAAAATTCCCTTTCAGTGGTCCTGTCCATACTCATAGGGAAGTTGACAGCTCACTGAAAATTAAAATATGTGTGCAGGTGCAGTAACAAGGGCATACAGGCCATGTCTGCTGAATTCTTTCTCTTTTCACAGCATCACTATTCTGGAGGCTACAGCAAGCTCACGTTGCAAATATGATCTAGGATATATGAAGAGATTTTTCTGTATTTAAATGCAATAAAGAAAATTATTATAGCCCTGAATTTACTGTGAGATTAGGCCAGAATGTTTGTGTCTTTTTTTTTTCTTACTATTACAGATCCAGCCTTAGTTGTGAAAATTGTGTTGCTGTGTTTTTCCTCGCTTGCATATTTTCTGTTCTAAAATAGAAGTGTTGATTGTGTGAGTAAGATGAAACTTACTCTTCCGTAGGATATTGACTCTTCAGTGAGTAATGAGTAAAATGTAGTTATGCATGCATGTCATTTTTACTGGAGTAAATAGAGTATGATTATATGAAGGAAGGAATTTTGCTGATTAAAAAGCACCATTTACTCATGTTTGGGATGAGGCTTTCAGCAAAAGTGTGAGACTTTCACCAGAGTGGCAAAATACCGGTGGATAATACAACAGAACATACAAGAATATTCTTTCCGTGACAGAAAGTATCTTGGTTTATTCTCTGCAACATTTTCTTCTGCCTTGATACAGATCTCCAGATGAGGAATAAGGACAAATGTAGTAGAAGACTCCTTTTGTGCAGAGCCCCTCTTGCTATCTCTCAGTTTATAGCATTCTCTCAAAAGAAATTAATGGAACAATACTGATGCAAAGTCCATTAAAGGTCTAGCTGAACTATGAGGATTAGGTTGTGAAACACAGCATTGTTTTGTTTTGCTATGCAGCAGGAAGTAATTTGAGTTGGGTGCAAGGTTGTGCAGGTTGAGCTCCTCAGTGCAATTTTCCCAAGCTCTGTCAGTCACATGTGCAGAACTGTGGTGTCTTCTCCAAGCACACGAAAAGCAGAAAACAGTGTACCCAAGTGCATCTTATTTTGCCTTAAAGCTCTCTGCTAGCAAGCCAAGCACTGTTTTTGGGAATGAGGCTGCAGTTTTTCAGAACTGCAAAAGAACAATGCCAAACAGAGAAAACACAAAGCATTTCTGATCTGTGGGAGTTCCAAGGCAACAGACAATTAGTTGTCAGTTAAAAGTGAGTGTGTAAAAACAAATTCAGCAAAGAGCAAAGAGGATCATGAAGCCTTATAATAAATGGCATTTTTCCTTATGTATGTAAAATCTGTTTCTAAGAAGTGGATCTTGTGGTGTGTGGTTTGGGGTAGTGTATCTTGTGGGATCTGAGGTTTGTTTTGATTTTTTTCTGTGAAGAGTTGTTTAACCCAGAAGAAAAGTGCCCTTTTGAATAATAAGGATCCGCTTGGTTGCTTTATTTGAAAGTTGTTTGGAAATATCTGCAAAATAGGGAAACAAATGCAATTGAGCAGAAGAAACTTGGTTGCTGGGACTCTTATTAACTCTTCAACTACTTTTCTTAAAACCAGAGGAGGTATGGCAAATAGCTACTTCAGAAAATATTTTAAAAATAAAGGTTTTAACTGGATAAAATAGCAAATACAGGCTATGTGGAATGTTTGCTCAGCAACGCTGGAAAGAAAAGAAGGGAAAGAAGGTGGCAATGCCAAATGAGAGAGATTCTCCCTGATAGTATTTCATAGGTTTTGCATTGTTTTCATGTTAAGATCCCTGGTCTATGCTTAGTAACTTAAATAAATATGTATTTGCAACATCTTTTTTTCTTTGTATTTTGATTCTTTCAAAATTAATTTTTGCTTATATATCTTTTGTTCAGATTTACTTATACTACAAGATACTTCAAAGTGCCTAGGTTTTAAATTTATGTCAAACTCCAGATTATGGAACATGAAACATTTTGTTTCTGAAGATTAGAATCTTACAGATATCAGTTTACTTGCAGCCAGTGATTCAACAGTAATATATGCTTAAGCTTTCACAGAGAGACACTTTTATTGGGATGCTTAGGAAGTCTCATTTATAGGAAGTATGCAGCTGAATTAACTTCTACATGCAACCCTTTCCTGGTCTCTAGGCATTACTTTCTAAGATGTAGAAAAATCCAGGAGATAAATGGCAATGTCAGGGATGACCATGATTAAAGCCTACAGCTAAAAGAAATATTATTATTATTATTATTTCTATTATTATTATTATTAGTAGTAGTAGTAATAGTAGTAATAGTAGTACCAGTAGTTGTGTTGTTGTTGTTATTGTAGTATTAATAGAAAAAGCTGTATCTGGCCAATGGTTTAAAGTGAAGATTTGAGTTTAGTAAAGACTAAATCTAACCCCAGCCCCCTGTGTATATGTTTGAAGAAGAAGGCATGTGAACTCTGGGAACAGGTGAAGAGTATCTAATGATTTTTTTTTAAATCATTTGCCTTAGCCAGCTTCCACTGCTAAAGTTTTACCATTTGAAGTGGATACCACTGCCTGTCAATGATCTAATCATGTATTGCGAGCCATGCCTTAGTTTAAAAAATTAAATACATAGCTCAGCATTACTAGTGTGGTGTTCTGTTCTTACTGGAGTCTTTGTCATAAATTGTTTATTGTATGTTATTGTATCTCTCATGTAAATTGAAGAATAAGGAGGCCAAATTCAGTAGCTCTGGAGAAAGTGGCACGTAACCAGTCTCATGTATATTTGGTGGAAAGAGATTCTAAGACCAAAATAATACTGTCATTTCTCCTCCTTCTGTTCTAAAGAGTTGCGTGTGCATTGGATTTTGCTGTGCCAGAAATTACCAGCTGCTCAAATGAATAAAACACCCAATACCCTAATTCCATTCTACCTTTCCCTCCTTGCTGAAAAGGACTGACAAAGTAGCAATCATTGTCTTACATTGATAGATAGCTGTACTCCCTCTGTAGTTTGAGTTTATATGTGGAGTGCTCTTTACAGCACTGCATTGCAGTAATGCTCAGGCACTTCCAGTGTGCCAGAATCCATTGGACAGAGGGACCCAGGAGCACAGGAATTTGTCTCAAATGCTTTGACTGTTGAACATGTCAAACATACCCAGCTTTTAGTTCTTATTTATATCTTATTTTGTTTTCTTTGCTGGTTTTTATAGTTTCTTTGGAAGGTGCTCACATAAAAAAAGAGGCTCATTCTTATTATTGTTTGCAGGTTTCCAACCTGTACCTGTATGACAGTGTGCTCATGCTGGCCAATGCTTTCCACAGAAAACTGGAGGACAGGAAGTGGCACAGCATGGCAAGTCTGAACTGCATGAGGAAATCCACCAAACCTTGGAACGGAGGAAGATCAATGCTAGAAACTATTAAGAAGGTGAGAAAAGACAAACCACCATTGTGTGAGCAATTGAAAGAGCTGCTTCACATCTACTTGAGCATTTGAAGAAGGTTTTAACTTCTGTTCAACTTTTCTTTGATGTATTCCAAGCAAGTGATCTACAGTGACCAAGAACAAGCTACAGCTATTAAACAAGCAAATGATTTGTGATAAACAGGCTACAAACAGTGCAGTGTGGCTCCAGTGGTGGGTGTTGTACTTCTGTTGTTCTCGTAGCTGCCCTCTGTGGAGGAAGTAGGATCGGGAGTACTCATGGGAATTGATTAATGCATTTTTGCAAGAGGATAACTTTAGGAGCCTGGGGGGGAAGGAGGGGAAACCAGTGACGAGGTTTATGACTTATGTTCCATTTTCTGCGGCTCAGATAGCTTTGTAAGTTAGCTGAGCATTGGTAAGGATCTATTTGTGTACTGTAGCCCAGAGCAGAGAAAAAAAGGATCTGATTTGGCTAAGCTGTCACTAACAGTTGCATTGTCTTGCACAGTGCTAAAATACTCAAATATGGACAGAACTGTGTCTTTGCAGACACATGGCAACTTCTTGTATGAGAGTTACTTGGTCACAAGCAATAGTAGAAAAAAAAACCAAATTTTTTACTATACTAACTTTTGAAATTGTTTAGAAAAAAAAACCCTGTTCCCAAATATATACTGATGAAATAATTTTCCTCTAATAAAATGATGCAATTTGATAATTCTGACAAGTCCTAATTATACCATGCTTTGTTGATAAATTAATTCGAACTTTTGTGTCACTTCAAGCTTCTTTGATACAAAGCCAGAATCAAACTGTGATAGTTTCACAGAGATGCAATTTTATCTTTCCTTCATGCCTCTCTTGGGAGAACAGCAGGCATACCCTCTGTTTTGGGCTAGGAGTTCATGCCTTAGTGCTCAAGCTGAGAGCTGAGCCCACTGCTCTCAGTTACGCTGGGAGGGCTGCTGTCTCACAGTCCACTGAGACACTTCTCTTTTTCTTTGGGGTCTGTTTCTGTGGACAGTAATGACCTGATGGCTCATAAACACTGTGTGTGTTACTGCTACAGTAATTTTATCAAAAAAAATTTAAAACAGAAGTCTGTTGTCTAGTGCTGGGTTTGAGCTACTGAAAAACATGCAATGGCCACATTTAAGTTCACTGTAAACACTGTGTGTGTTACTGCTACAGTAATTTTATCAAAAAAAATTTAAAACAGAAGTCTATTGTCTAGTGCTGGGTTTGAGCTACTGAAAAACATGCAATGGCCACATTTAAGTTCACTGTAAACATGATTAAAGCATATTTGGCACACATTTTATGCAGAGTGTTTATGAAGGCAAATGTCTTCTGTTCTGAAATTTCTCAAACTTATATCCTTAGGGCCACATAACTGGGCTAACTGGTGTTATGGAGTTCAGAGAAGATGGAGCCAACCCCTATGTCCAATTTGAAATACTGGGCACCAGCTACAGTGAAACATTCGGCAAAGATGTGCGGAGGGTAAAGATATGCTGCTTCCTTCTCTTTTTTGTTTTCCTCTAAATAATATACATCCTGCCTCACAGGAGAAAATGTTATTCTTCAAGAATGAATTAGTGCTATGCTGCAGAAGACATTTACTCTATGAGAAATATTTTCTAATTTATTACACACTTAAATCTTGAAAACCAGTTTTATATTGGTAGGCAGGAATCCTGCAAGTTATTTTTCCTGTGCAGTAACAATGTAATGCCATAAGCATCCTATGAATATAATAGTGAAGACTGCACAATTTAGCTTATGTGTTTTATTATTAATTAAGATAGGGTTGCTATAATATAAATATGAAAGATACAACACAATTGACACGTCTTACTAAGGAAGGTAGCCAAGTATATAAATTACGTAAACACGCTGGGATGTTTTAAGTATGGCTGCTGCAAGAATTTGAGATAAATAAAGAAAAAATTCTAGAGAAGATAATTTCCACAGCGAAAGGTGCTCTGCCATGAAAAGTAAAGATTGACCTGTCAGTGGTAGCTGGTGGAACAAGGACTGCCAAGGATTAGAAGGCAGTTAAAGTGGTTCCATGGGATTATAAACATAAATTGTCTTTTCTGCAAAGGATACCTTGAACACAGGCAGAGGGGCTCTGATTGGAACCCATGCTGTAAATAGTTTCTAAACTGCTCTGATGGCTGAAATACAGACATTACCATGGTATGATCAATGGGTCCTACATTAAAAAGAGCTGACCAATGAGGATTTCACAAATAATTAAAATATATTTGATTTGTTATTTTCATTTGGCCATTGGTTTCTGTGATTTGCTTTGATTTGTCTGAATTGCAGAAGTGGAAAAACAAGCAAAAAACTTGTGTTTACATAATCATCTTTATCAGCTAAACATGAGATTCTTTCAGAGTCTAATTTGGCACAAGGATTTTGGTCATGGAGCCAAAGTTGTGCAATATCTATTAGAAATTCAGCAGAAGGGAGACAAGTATTTGAAATGCATAAAGTTCCAGGAGATATAATTGAAAGTTTTCGGTTGCCAAAAATATGCCTCTGAACACTTCACTTTGGCTCTTATATTGTGGTGACCAGAAGAGGTTATTTCTCAATCCACTTCCATTTCTAGAAGATTGAAAATGAGGAAGTCTTACATTTCAAACACTATGTGAATTAGAAAAGATTATTTTATTGTCTTAATTTTGGAAAAGTGTTGCCTATTTAATAAAACAAGCTTGGCTTAGGAGGTGTAGGAATCAATCCTGGTTCTCAGGAATATGCTTCTCTCTTTATGCACAAGTATTCAAAACAGAAATATCTGGTGCCCTGCGAGATACTGTGGACTACCCCACTGTTTCCAGCTGGCAGTCCAGAAAAGCCTGTGTCCTGTCAGTGCTGTGTTATCCCTAGCACATGGATGCCATGGGGCATTAAAGTTTGATCCCATTTTACAGAATTCCCAAGTGACTTTGCTTAAGTCATAATTACCTTCCAGTAAAATTGGCATGAACATCACAGAGCACGGGTTTGAGCTTTACAGGCAAACTGGGATGTGTGAATATACATTATTAATGTGTATTTCAAATATGGTGCCACAGATACAAATGCTCTACTTTGGTATGTGCAGACATTGACCAAATTGACACCTAATCCAAAGGTGTGAGGTGGAGATAACTAAAATATCACTCAAAAGCGACCACAAGGCAAAGAAATTGGTAAAATGATTAAATGGGAAAATTACTAAAATGGCTGACCTGGTATACAACTGATTACTTTTGATCCCTAGTGTGCTACTTTGAGGTTGTGCTGCTAGGTGGTTAATATAGGAAGGCTTTATATATAGGAAGGAACACTCTTTGGGTGTTAAATGTGGAACACTATACCATTTCCAAGAATTGAAAGGGAGTATAATTCTAAATGGGTAAAAAGCTAATGGCTGTGGAATACTGCTCTGAGCTAAAATGAAGTTCTGGAAATTATCCTTTCAGTGTAATATATATAGAGAGTAAAAAGTCAGCAATATGCTACAGAAGTTCAGAGAAGAACTTGGAAGAGATGATTCCTCTTAGAGCAAAATTACCATGGAACTACTGGAATTCAATTATTTAGCCAGACTTTTTATTATTGCAGCAAAAATATGTTACAGCTTAGAAGTACTTTTAAAGGCTCAAAAAGTCATGCTTGTTTTATTTATATTACTTGAGTGAAAGACCAGCTCTGATGTATTGTCAGTTGTTTCAATTTCAGCCTTTGGTCAGGTTTAGCTGTAGAGGTACGTATTTTGGGTAGAAAACAGAGAATTCTTTCTGCATGGTTTTATTTGTGTATGGAGATCGTCTGTAATTATTTATCCCTGTCCAGACTCTACAAGAAATCTTTGCACTTAGGATCAGTGACAGGATAGGGCAAAAGACTGTAATGTTGAGTGTTGAACCTTAGAGGGTATCCAGTCAAAAGCTTTAAATTGGACTTTTAACTCTCCTCATCCCTTACAAAGTTTCTTGGGGATCATTTCCACCAGAACATTTCCTGGGAGGAAAGTAATCCAAGTCAGTAACTCAAATCTGCAGGAACTTTCAGAGCTATTTTGCAGAGGCATCTTGACTCTCCAATTTTCCTGAGATCTGGTCTTTCTGTAGACCATTTTTCCTTTCACTAGCTGTGATTTAGTTATGATTGCACCTAAATATATGTATTTCATGCTCAGTGTAGCTTCTTTATTCCACAAGTCACTTTGTCTTGTCCTTTCTAACTCAAGTCTAACACCATGTGGATTTGGTAAAGGCTCACAGAGGCTTTTGTGTATTTTATGTGTTACTGTTTGTTTTTCCTTTTGGTGTGCTTTAGTGAAAGGGAAACTTCAGAAAATGCTCTAATTTCTTTGGTTTAAACATAAAAGAACTGGGTATGTCCCTTAACATATATCATCTTGTTTTACAAAAGGGTCAGGTAATTGCCTTCTATTCACTGTGTACATGTGAAAGTTTAGAAAGCATTGTGTATTCATGCTTAAAATAAAGATTTGTGTGGTGGCTTATTGGGGCATTTGAAAGTTGAAGATTGCTGGAGAAACTGAAGAGGCTTAAATGGTACTACTGCTTGATGATTACCACTATGATTTACATTCCTAGTGTCTATAAATAACTTCAGAAATAGCAATCAGAGTATCTGTACATTAAAAAAGGAAGTGGATGTAAAGTGATAAGGAAACATAATAGATCAAAAAGGAAAAAGCAGAAATAAAGTTGATGTCCTGCTTTCAGATTCCAATGGTCATAGAAGGGGAAAGGAAGGCAGGACTACATTAATTCCCTCCTTAGTGACTATCTATAATATTAACTTTTATTAATGAAAGCCTTGATGGAACTTTCAGAACATCTGGGCTGCTTCATACTTCTTGTGCTCCTGACTTGGGTAGATTTTACACAATATAAGAGCCAGGTGATCCAGCTCTTATGGCAAAACTAAGGGAGTTGAAACACCTGGGTGGCTTTAATAGCAAGTTGCCACATCACTGTGAGCTCTTGAGGTGCAAACCTATTTATTCTTGTTTGACCATGTGTGCAGAGAACTGTAACAGTTAACACACCTTGCAGGGATGTGATTAGGCTAAGTTAGATGATGCCTGTAAGGAGCTTTATGATCATCTTCATCTTTGGCAGGAAGATCTTCTGTAAGTGTGAAATGATGTGGGTATTCAGTTTACTTTATGACAGGAGACATAGTTTTTCTAAAGCAATCTGCATTTCTTTCCCAAGCTGGCTGTAATGAAGGCAGAATTAATGGTTTGCACACATTTTGTATTTCATGAGAAGCATTCTGTTCAAAATGATAATGTTTATGATTGGTTATTCATTTCTGTCAGTTGATATTTTTTTTTAATTAGATTTTCTTGAAATATCATCAGCTTTGTAAACAGTTATAGTTGTTTCCTACAGCACTTCTGAGGCAGACTGCAGAAGTCACTGTAAGTAGTTTTTGTGATATGTTTCACAGTTGTTGAAACCACATTTTTGAATTCCGATACCATGGTTTAGTTGGGATTGTTACTTTTAGACAAAATCTCATTATTACCATGATGACAAATCCCATGCTTCTTATTCATTGCAAAAATGAATGGTATTTTTAGACATCTGCAGTATCAAGTGCTTTCACCCCCAATAATATTGCCAAATCCCATCATATGCTGCTAAAAGTTATATTTACACCAAAAGAATTATGTGATTCCTACCATAATTGAGTCAGCTTTACTTACATGGAAAAATACATAACTTAATTGCCTGGGTTTAGATGTAAAACAGATTCCTGCCTCCTGTTTGAGCACGTCATTAACAGACTTTTTTTTTTACACCAAAAACTACTTGGGTGTATGTCGCCCTGAAACCTAAAGCCTTCTGATAAAGTTTTCATAGTTTTAGTTACTTTCCCATGGAAGTTCTATAAACATAAGTTGTTTATCACATTCCTTCTAAGAAACATCTTTTGATGGACATTTCTCATGATCAGTGTGCTTGGGAAGGTGGTAACTTAATTATCTAATCCCTGGTCATTGTCGAGAATCTGTAAATACTGGAGTCAGAGAATAAAGAGAGTTTTTTTGTTCTGACACAGAGTGTTTGTGTGAATCATTTTGTGTCCTTTAGTGACAGGTGTAGTATTTCAGTTTTACCCATTTGGCCCAAGGTATCTTTCAGCATAAATGTGAGCCTGAACTTATGGCTACATTTGATCACTAAAATCCCTCTGTTACTTTGCAAAGGGAATAGTCCTCTCCCTCTTGGTAGACTGCAATTTCCACATATTTACAATTGGTTAAACTTTCTCTTTCTGCTTGAGTTGACTGAGTGTCATGGTGAAATAATTTGGAAAAAGAGCATTGTGATTCATCCTACAACCACATTGTGTCAAACCGAAAAAACAACTGAAGTATTTTACTCAAATTAATGAACCCCCTTAAATTTTTATTTCTTGTTTTCTGTGCATGATGTATGTGAGGAATGAAAGTAAAT